GATCAGCTGCCTCCTGCACATCTCCTACTGGGGATGTGCCCACAACCCAGGTACATGACCTTGACCGGAATCGAACCTGGGACCTTTCAGTCCGCAGGCCGATGCTCTATCCACTGAGCCAAACCGGTTTCGGCAGCTCATGGCATCTTAATCTGCATGTTATTACCTCCTGTTGGCCAAACATCTGAACAGCCGAAGGCAATTCGCCAATCCGACAATGGATTCTGTACCTAACCCTGGCCTTTGATGTGTATATCTACCTCTCTCAGGACAACTTGTGTTAATAAAAAGCAAGGGGTTCTGAGACAAGGAGAACTTAGTTCCTTTCGCTAAGTCTCCTCTGACTACCTATAATGCCTTTCAAAATTATGTTTCGTCTCTGGACTCTTATTTAATTTACGCACAGCCCTTCTCCGGATTTCTGAACTCTAGATGCCAGAACAAGAACTACCGGCATTATCAAGTCATTATGTTATGCATTTAAAATATATTACAATTTTGTTAGTTATAGTATTTAATGTATTAAATACTATACCTGTAATAGTATTTAAGGTATTAAACAATTTATAATTTTAATAAAGGCAAAAAAAGAAATTCCATGTAATGTTCAGAAGGCAATTCAAAATTTACCATTAACGCTGAAGAAAAAGTCCTGATCATTAATATTATGTTCTCAATTGTTTTTTTAAACATCACCAAAATAAAAAAGGAAGGTAGGTTTTAAGGCTAACTTAAAACAATTTATCTTCATAAAAAGGAATATGAATACTGAATTTGCTAGAATTTCTTATTCTGTTTTCCTGCAATCAGAAGTAAATAGTATCTTGGGGATGGCTCAATAGAGCATAAGAAAAGAAGTACTGGCTGCCAGTCAATAGTTATAACCCCCAGTTTAAAAACCTCAGAGGTAAGTGGCCTTGATGATCTCAGACAAGGCTGAAATAGTAGTCTGAGTTTCCCTACTTGTTCATTCTAAACACTGTTGTTTACCTAAAGCAAAAGTTAGCAAACTTTAGGCAGTGAATATTTAGGCTTTGTGGGTCATATAGTGTTGGAACTATTCAACTTGCTTTTTAGTAGGAAAGCAGCTACAGACAATATGCAAATGACTGGGAGTGGCTGTGTTCTAATAAAACTATGTGCAAACAAGCTGCAGGCTTAGTTTGCCAACCCCTGGACTAAAGAATAAGAGGCTTTCAAATCAGCGATGAAAATTCTGAAACTTTTCAGAAAAGAAATAAGTAGTGACTGTGTAAAACCATATTCTTACAACATACCTGAGCTGGGGGCATGACAGTTGCAGGTAAAGGATTAGAAATCATTGGTCCAAAGATGTCCAGATCATCATTCAGGGCTGGCACTGTGGTTGTGTTCCCATTGGTCACTGGTGGCTCAGCAGGACCATCTAAAAAGAGCATAGATTCTTGTCTTAGAGTAGAATCTCTTAGTACTTGAAACATGGCATTATTTTAAAAATATATGGTTAAAAAAAAAAGAACAGTTCAAAAAGTTGACAACAACATATATCTCTTCCCCTTCTATTCCAGGTTCTATCCCAGTGATGGTGAACCTATGACATGCGTGTCAGAGGTGACATGCAAACACATTTTTTTGGTTGATTTTTCTTTGTTAAATGGCATTTAAATATATAAAATAAATATCAAAAATATAAGTCTTTGTTTTACTATGGTTGCAAATATCAAAAAATTTCTATATGTGACATGGCACCAGAGTTAAGTTAGGGTTTTTCAAAATGCTGACACGCTGAGCTCAAAAGGTTCGCTGTTCTATCCCCTTACTCAGAGAAACAATTTCCAATTTTATTCTTCCAGATAATTTTATCCACCATATTCTATATCCAAATAGAACACATACATACATAAATATATATGTGTGTATGTATATATATATATATATATACACACACATATATATATACACACACACACACACACACACTGCTGTGTATATATAGTTTTTAATAAGTGGTGTCATATATTCACATTATTCTGTATCCTGATGCTCCCGTATGTGCCAGGTACTGTTCTGAGTACTTTACATATATTAACTCATTTAATCCCCATAACCTAATGAGACAGACACTACTTTTGAGTTGATTAGCTAAGCTAGGATCTGATACCATGTTCTTACAAACAATGCCTCTTTATAAATGGGTGTGTTTTGGATATCACTTCATAGCATGTACTAGTATTTCTGATTTTAAATGTCTGAAATGTTGCATTTTAAAGTTACTATAAGGAAAAAAAACTAGATAAAAAGAAAGAAAACATATACTGGTTCCATAGGAAATATCCATAAAACTTGAAATAAATCATTTCTTGGCAGTACCAAGCCACTGAGCTATAATGGAAAAGGAACTCTGATAGGGTTCCAAACATTCTATATCAGTTCCTATTTACCCTATCATTCATAAAACCGTTTAAAATATCCCCTTTTACATTAGTGCAAAATTTACACAGTGTAAGGGTTGGGAACTGGAGTGGGGAGTGGGGGAGTTTCAGAGCATGGTATTCCAGGACATGGAACATCTCACATGGTTCTGTTTTTTGTGGCCACAACCAAGTAACAGTCCTGAGCATCATGACTCCAATCTCTGGGACTTATATCCTAATCAGGCTTCTGTTTTAACAATTTACAATTTCATGTGGCCTCTCTTTGATGTAACATATGTTGTTAATGAAAGTTCTACCATGTACTCAGTATTTCTACCACAACCCACAGAAACTCACAGGTTTCTTCTTTTTTTTTTTTGAAGTATAACTATAGAAATTGATATCATTTATTTCCCTGTTTAGAGCTTTAGGAAAGCACAGATGAATTTCAGTGAATAAATTGTCACAATATTTTTTACTACCTAATTTATAAAAGAGTATGTAAAACCCACAAAAGTTAGTTTGGAAGAAATCAACTGCAAACTTTTTTCAGTCACTTCCAGTGATATCACATTATCAGAGCCATATACCTGGGACTATGGACAAGTTAAAGATGAAGCAATAAAGCAATGCACAGATTATTACTAATTTATAAGATATAGAATTTTAAGCTAAGACACAACTATGACTAAGACACAACTATAAAAGCATTCAAATGACTCATACATGAAAATAATTTTCATTTCTAACCATTTCAAAAGGCAACATTCATTCTGAAATTAGACCTCTTTGAAGATCTATTTTATATTTTCTATCCATTCCACATTCCATTTACACTATGTATATATATATAGCACATTATGTACTATATAGTACATCATGTAAATATGAACCAGAAATGAAACAGCATAAAAGAAAAAGGTATTCTAGATTAAAAACACAACTAAAGGAACATCTTTGTGATATTACAACAGCTCAGTAAATAAACTCAGTCCAATGCCTTGTAAGCCAGTGGTGCTTTAACTCATAAACTGTAGCATGCAGGGTAGGGGAACATCCACATCAGAGTCATGTTTACTTCAACAACAAAATATGACTATCTTATATATCTGCAATTTCAACTCACAAACAGAAGCACATGTCCTCCCCCAAACAAACTACAAACCAAGAAAAAAGTTTAAAACAGGAAATAATTATTTCCAATTTTACAGTTAAATTTCTTTGCTTTTTGAAGGAATACTAGTAAACACTAAAAATTAGGATAAATTTATGGGGGGGAATCCTTAAACATGAGAAAATACTATTATAGCGGAACCCTGGTTCTCGAACTTCATTCATTCCAGAAGGCTGTTTGAGAAGCTATTTGTTTGAAAACAATCATTTTTTCTCATTAAAAATAATGTAAATTGAATTAATCTGTCCCAGACTCCCAAATGACTGTTTTAACCTTACTTATATATAGTACATGTCCAATGTACTGTTTAATTTATAAATAAACACTTCTTAAATTTATCAAACCATCCCCTAGTATCCTTAAATGAATTTTTTTTAATGTATACTTTTAATGATTTTAGAGAGGAAGGGAGAGGGAGAAACAAATGATGAGAGAGAGTCACTGATCGGCTGCCTCCTGCACACCCCACACTGGAGCCCACAACCAGTGCATATGCCCTGATGGGGAATCAAACCTTAACTTCCTGGGATTCATAGGCCGACACTCAACCACTGAGCCACAAGGGCAGGCCTTAAACAAAACTTTAATATATTGCTGCTTCTGAAATGCTATCACTGGCTACCTGCTTTTCATTTATCCAATCAACAACAGTTTTTTTACCTATTCAATTGCCTGTGATTATTTTGTGAACACTTTCATACCTTTAGCATCATTAGCACTCTTAATAGTCTCTTTATGTTTTAAAATTGTGCTAATCATTTAATTTTGCCAGCAACGAAAGCATTCTCTCCTTGGTTGTCTCAGAGACTTTTTGTCATGCTAAGGTATCAGCCTGAAAGGGTTGTCAGGTATAAAACTGAACAACAACTTGGTCAAGAACCAATTGTTTGAAATGGGAGACATTCAAGAAATGACGTTTGACTCTATTACCTTTTTTCCTTTGGTGAATTACCGTATTTGCCAGCGTATAAGACGATTTTTTGGCCCTGAAAAATATGCCTCCAAGTGGGGGGTCGTCTTATACGCCAGGTACACTTCAGATAGACTGCCCATAGTGCTTGCCCCGTGCCATAGTGGCCTCCCGATGCCCGCCCACTTCATTCCACATACCGTTCAGGCATCAGCTGCTGGGCTGGGTGTATGCTCGGCTGTTATGCGATTTTACCACACTCGCAAAATCGCACACAGCCGACCATACACCCAGTATGATAGCGCAAAATCGCGAATCGC